ACCTAACCCTCCCCTGGCAGAGCTTGAGTCTGTGCCCTCTTGTCCTGCTGCTGGTTGCCTGGGAGAAGAGACCAACCCCCACCTGACTCCAACCTCCTGTCAGGGAGTTGCAGAGGGTGAGAAGGTCTCCCCTGAGCCTCCTCTTCTCCAGGCTGAACACCCCCAGCTCCCTCAGCCTCTCCTCATGGCACTTGTGCTCCAGTCCCTTCACCAGCCTCATTGCTCTTCTGCTCTGACACCAGAAGCAATACACAGTGCAATTGCCTCATGCATTTGTACCCACAGAATCAAACTGTTTGTTGTGCCTTGCAGCTTTTCACTTTAATGACATGAATTAGTGCATCGAACTGTTGCTTCTCCTTGACACTGTACAATTACAGTCAAGACTTATGTTTTTTTTGTTACAAATATATATAAAAGCTATAAAACCAATACTGAATCTCAGCAAATACATATTTGTGTTACAAACAGCACCAGTGCTGGGAATATCATAGTCCCTGCTTCAGCAGCAGCCAAGTGTCAAAAGACTTGGGAAATTTCCTATTTTTTTCCATCAAGATTGAAGATAGAGCCAGAGTGAGACGTTAGGGAGATTTAAAAGTAGAAATCTGTTTAACAGGGTTTCCTAATGCCTCATTCTTGTGTGCACTAGATTTACTTACACATACATGTGCCTGAGTGTGATAAAAGTGGGATTCTAGTGGTTTCCCAACCATAAGTGAAAAATCCATTGTTCCATAAACATACTTTTCCTACTTCTCATCAAAGCTGCTTGCAGCACTTAACCGGGCGGGGGAGGGACTCTTCGGGTGAGCCATCTGGAAAAGAAGGAAAAGGTCAGAACTTGGATATTTGTGCTAATTATGAGATAAGCAGTGCCATTCTTAGCTGACACCACAAAACACACACACAGAGCAAATCATTGAAATAAAAGGCATTATTAACCCTCAGATTTTGTTCTTCTGCAAAGTGGAATGCTGAATTTCATTGAGGCACTGATTGGCCACCAGAAAAGCAACTTTTCCTGTTGGCATTGTCAAATAACCTGCTGGAGACAGGCCATGGAGTTTCTGCTCTGCAGTGTGCTGGAATCAGGAAAACAAGTGCCCTTATTTGTGGTACTTAGTGGTTATGGATGAGAATTATGGAAGCTGTAAGTGTAGAATCATCACGATTGGAAGAGACCTCTAAGATCATCATAGAATCATAGAATCAACAGGGTTGGAAAAGACCTCCAAGGTCATCAAGTCCAACTCTACCACGGTTACTAGACCATGGCACTAAGTGCCACATCCAGTCTCAGCTTGAAAACCTCCAGGGATGGTGAATCCACCACCTCGTTGCTCTTCTCTGGACCTGCTCCAGCACCTCAATGTCCTTCCTGAACTGAGGGGCCCAGAACCAAACACAGTAAGTCCAACCATAGGTAATACATACCCACGGTGCTGCTCTGTAGTGGAAAAACCAAGTAGGAATTCTATGGATTTTAGAGGCAGTTTATAGTTCCAAAGAGAGACACTGTGACTTGCCTGAAATTTTCGCCGTAGTGCCTGTGTCATTATTGGTGTCAGCCCAGACCCACATTCAGTGTTCTCTTTATTATTTAGTGGAGTGCCACCAGGGCTTCTGAAAAGATTGGAAACAAGGGGAATTATGATTAGTTCTGTATTTTTTTTCTAGACAAAAAAAAGTTCAAGAGAATAGGAAACAATTTACCTTTGTATATTGACTTTCTTCAGATGTTTGCGAAGATCAATCTGAGTTTTTGGGGGGGTCCTAAGAGGATAAAACAAATGGTCACAATGAAGTATTTCCCACATTGTCAACAATGTTAATCACTGTTTAAAACTGAAAAAATATGATATCAAATAAAGGAAGAAAGGATCTTACATCAAGGAATTTGTAACTTGAGCTGATGGCTTGGACTTAGGTCTCAAACTAACACTCTGTAGATCTGAGACTGTGATTAATGTCCTGTGTGGCTTCAGTGGTGATTCTGCCTAAAGCAAGGAAAGAAATGTTACCTCAAATGAACCTTCAGAAGGTCCCACTAACCTGAAATCTATTTAATATTTTTACTCTGAAAGATTTCTGTGGCTCATTGCTTTTATGCTTTTTAAGTTATTAAGATTTGAATATGCCTTGGATTAAAATAGATTTATGAAAAGTAAATGTGAAACACTTGTGCAAACAAGATTTCAGGTGGGCAAAAGAAACCAAAAATCTATTGATAACACAAAGACACAAAGCTCCATGGCCTTAGTGTAAAATGAGAACTGTCCTGCATGCCAGAGGAGACTGGAGCTAGTCATTTCATTTCTTCACTTCAAATGCCAAGCACAGAATTGGGATGGTTATTTGAAACTGATCATGGGGTGTTTGCAAGAGATTTAACTTATTGGAAAAATTCCACGAAGAGCTGAGACAAAAACACTGAGGAAATGCACTGGTTCCAGGGAGCATTTTGCCTTGACACACCATCACCTGTTCATCCCTGTGTCCTCCAGTTTACCTTGTCCATTCTCAGGTTGCTGTTTGTCTTCTTCAACTTAACATTGAGAAGGTCTTTGAGAGTGATCTGCATTGGCCCATCTTTCTTCACTGGTGGTGCCTGAAAACAAAGGGAGTTGGAAGGGAATTAGGGTCAGCAATGACTGAATGTTCACAGAGACAAGTTCTCAATGAATCTAAAGAACCAGCCATGAGAAAAAAAACAGAGGAACCTCCTGAGTCCTTACCAGATGTGCTTTAGAGGCAGTGCCCCGTTTGAGGAGGAGAGGAGCTGAAGGCAGCTTGGGTGGGGGCAGTGGTGGTGGTGGTGGAGGAGGAGGTGGAGGAGGAAGAGGAGGAGGAGGTGGAGGAAGTACAGACAAAGGCATGGACGGTGGCAGTGACAGTGGATCCATCTGTGCCTGCACAGCAGCACCCAGGACTGGTTTATTGCACCTCTGACAAAGAGAAGTTTCTGAAGAAAAAGCTGCAACTCCATTCTCCTGAAAACAACATAATTAAGAGAATAGTAAATCAATATTAAATTTAAATATAACAAACGGGTGAAAGCAGATGGGGTTTTAGAGGAAAAGTTTAGCCAAGCCTGTGGCTAAAGTTGATCCATAAAGACATGAAAAGCCTCTTACAAGGCTCACCACCAAACCAGTTCCCTCTGGCTGTGAAGGAACTGCAGTTTAGCAGTGCTGAATGCAGGGAATGCCCCATGAGAAGCTCTTCAAATTTCAGGGTATCTGCACTGACCACAGTCCCTTACTGCTCCCACAGGCAAACATCACCCTGCCCCACCAGGACTGAGACTGACCTGGAGTGTTCCTTGGAGCTTGGACAATTCACTTTCCAACTTTTCCAGCCTCTCTCTGAAGGTATCGAGTTCTCTCAGGTAGATTTGTGATGAAAATATGGTGTCATTAACTACCTTGAAACCCTTAAGTGTAAAAAGAAACCAGATAAGCATTTTCCCCACCAAGTTCTGTTTCCATCACAGGGCTGTGATTACTATGGGAAGTTCTATGCCAAGGTCTTATTGCAATCCATGGAAAAGCACAACAGGAAGACAGAAAATTTCACCAAACCGGTCCTTGGCAGGAACTCAGGGAGCAACTTTATAAGAAAAACTTTAACTTAATCTAGGAATTTGAAAGGAAAATTCACATTTGACCTTAAAAGCTCAAACAATCATTC